ACTTTCAAAGGAGAAAAAAATGCAGTGACAAGAGTACAGGACATGGAGACTAGTGGTGCTCACATTGAGGATCTCGAGGGACAACCAACGGATGGGAACTTTGATAATGACTTACCACCGAGGAGCCGCACGTAGAAAACAACAATGGAACATGTTCATCCCTGTCAGATCAACCAGTACTGGAGTACCAAAGAGACGCTGGATCTGGATCCGGAGCAATGACAGCCAGAGGATGCACAAGGCAATCGATAGCATACAGGAGGTTCAGTAGAGCAGGCCAGAAATCAGGAGGACCGGCAGAGGCATTAGTGGGCAAGCAATTAAGAGCATGGTCAATACGGTGCACACCAGGTGGAGCAGGCGGCAAGGCATCGATCAAGGCAGGATCAAGAGCACGACAGTACATAAAGTGATCACGAGAGATGTAGACACCTGCAGGTGACATACAGGGACACTCCTCACGCATGTTAGTAAAGCGGCCAAGACGCCAGCGGACCAAACGACTACGGGCAATACGACCAAGAGGCAGATAGAGTATGGGATCAGGCCTTGTGGTATCAGGACGACAAGCACGAAGCAAAGTATGACGACCAGTGACAGTAGCAGCAGAGAGTTGGAGATCAACCTGATCTTGCCAATAAGCAGCAAAGGTAGTACGCAAGCCAGCAGAAGAAGGAACAGGGTCAGGCAGCGACTGATACAGAGGGTTTTCACATATAAAACGATCCAACCTTGTATAGTGCAAATGGGCACGAAGCAGAACCAGCAGACAATCGTCAGGCAGAGTATCAGCACGCAGAGCAAAACGGGTAGCCAGGACATTGTAGCGATGTTTGATACTGGGAAGACAGGTAATGTGCTTGGCGACATTGACCCAAGTACTACCCACAAACATGCCAACAAGTCGGTTTTGCAGAGTATCCAGAGCAGTAAAATCACGAGCAGAGAGATGCGAGATGGCCAGACCGTATTCAAGCTTAGGACGAATAAATGTCCTGTACAAGCGAGAGGAGAGCAGCAAAGAGAAACCATTGCGGTTGACACCAACAGAGTTTAACAGAGCCATGGTCTTGACAGCACCAGCAGAACGCAGAGACAGAATACCAGGAGCATGCAGGCCTTTGTATCGGAATGGCATACCAAGGTATGTAAATTCGTCAACGACAGGCAGGGCTTCATTGTATAGTACAAGAGGAGAACCAGCAAGAGCAGCAGCAGTACCAAGCACAGCGCATTTGGAAGGCTTCCACCTATATCCAAGAGAGACAGAATGACCAGCAGCAAGATCCAACATACGCTGAACCTCAGACTTTGAACCAAAGACAGCCACATCATCAGCGAACAGGAGACTATTGATAGCAATAGGAGCATCAGCACCAGGCACAGGCAGCATAGTAGCACCAGTAGCACCAGAACGCAAAAGACTTGGTAAAGAGTTGATATACAACGAGTACAAGTGAGGACTGAGCACTGAGCCTTGCAGAACACCAGTGACAGGAGAGAAGGCAGTCGAGTTGTGATTAGCAATCAAGACAGAGACAGACACATCATCAAACATGTTGATCAACAGACCCAGAACAGCACGAGGAAGACTAGAACCAGCCAAAGCAGACCAGATAACACGACGATCGACTGTGTCATATGCTGACTTGATATCCAAGAAAGCGACAACAGGACGACGACGGTGCGCAACAAAGTAATCATGCATCAAGTCATGCAAGCAGAGGGCTTGATCCAGAGGACTACGTTGAGGGCGGAAACCACCTTGGGCAATGTCAAGGGCAGGAGAATGGGCATCCAGCTCAGGCATGAGAGAGAACTCAAACAGTTTGCGCACAACAGAAGTCAGAGAAATAGGCCTATAGTTGGCGGGATCAGAAGCATCACCTTTCTTGAAGATGGGGAAGACTTGGGCATGACGCCAGAGAGCAGGAGTATACGACCATTGGTAACACAGAGTGAACAACAGAGACAACACCGGAGCAATCTCAGAGACCAAGGACTTGAGCATCTCAGCTTTAATATGATCTGGACCAGGAGCTTTATGTGTTGGGAGCCGCTGAATGTGAGATACAAGAGTATCAACATCGAACAGTGACAAATCCACAGGCACACAAAAAGGCAGAACAGAGTCAAAAGTGGGGGGAGCAGCAGGACGAGTAGCAGTGGCAAGCAGAGAGCCATCATACACCGAAGCGAGATGAGAACCCATAGCAGTGACAGAAGCAGCAGGACCGTCGGGATGACTGTAGGTAGCAGAAGACTCTTTGTTACGCTTGATGCGCTTGATAGCAGCAGTAGCTTTTGAGAAATCCTTTTCTAGAATACCACAGAACTGTTTCCAGGACCTTCGCTTTGCAGCTTGCACCAGGGAGCGAAACTTGCGATGCGCAATTTTGTATAAGGACCATTTTTCAACTTTGACAATACCAAAGGCATGCCTCCATTGACTATAAGAGTGATCACGTACAGTAGCAGCATCCTGAATTTCTTGCGTCCAGTACTTCTTCCAATGGCCAGGACGACCAGATTTCACACCAATAGAACTATCCAGAGATTCATACAAACATTGATTCAAAGAATCGTTGAGTGCATCAATATCTGGACGAACACCAGGAGGAGCAGACACCAAACCAGAAAGAGTACCAACCAGAGGAGCAACAGAAGATCGAAAGGATTCACGGAGTAAGCCCAAAGGCTTCTCTTTCGTCAATTTCGAGAGCTTCCATTGACGCCGAGGAGCCAGAACAGAATCACCAGGAGCCACAGTGTCATCGAGAGGTGGCACATACCCGAAAGTAAGTGACATCAATCGATGGTCAGAACCAAGAGACAGATCAGACTCAACCACCAGTTGAGGATTCACCAAAGCAACATCACCAATATTTGTCAAAAACAAATCAATGATACTACTCAATTCTTGTTGCTGCCGAAAAGAAGAGTACGTCGTAACACCAAAAGCCAAAGACGCATTGAGTACAGACAAGCAGTGTTCATCAAACCAAGGTTTGAGAGCATTACCACGAGCATTAGAGATAGCATCACCAGTGAGAGAACCCAACCGAGCATTGAAATCGCCACATAGAATAGTATCCCTAGTCATAGGTAATGAACTAAGGGCCGAGAGCACCTTATCAGATGATAAGGGTGGAGGTAAGTATACACAATGGACCGTAAGGGAGCCAACCTTAAGGGACAAAGTATGCGGATTATAGGATGGGAGTTGATAGACAGAGTAAGGACAGGAAGGAGAGACAAAAGCAGTAATACCACCAGAACCACGGTTGAAGGCACCAGGTACTTTCGAACCGTAAAGATGGTATTGGGACCAATCTGTAGGAAAAGAGCCAGAAGTTAGCCAGGTTTCAGTAACCAGCAAGACATGAGTATCCAGGACATGAGAGAGAACATCGTGAATCACTGATTGACGAAGACCATTGGCATTCCAAAGAGAGAGAGAGACAAATAAGGAGTGGACAGGGTTATCATTTTGGGTATACAGTATCAAGGACTCAGTGGTGGAACACATTATTGTTCCATAGCAGAATCTTCATTGGCAGAGTCAGCATTAATCTTGCGACGGAACAAGAAGTTAGCCCTCTTGGGTTCCTTCTTTGCAAAGCGTTGAATGGCATCACCAACAGAAACAGAAAGGTCTTCGTCACAAATCCAGCCTTGCTCAACAAAGTACTTACCAACACCACTGACATTCAGAGGACGTAGGAAAGCTAAGGTTTGCAGACACCGAGCAGCAGTAAATTCCATGATCAAAGCAGTACGTTGATCCAGAGTCAAAGAGTCATACTTAGGATCAGCTATGTTAGCAGGGTCCAAAGGGTCAAAGTCGAAGAAGAATTCAGCCTCACAAGCCTCCAAAAGTGCAGTAAAATCCTGAACATATTGCACATGCACCAGGATGCCAATAACATCGGATGCTGGGAAACAGATGTCAAGCACACGACCCAAATCAACGCCGGCTTTGCGCAAGAGAGAGCGAACTTCAGAGCGTGCAATCTTCTTAGATCTACCAATATAAACATATTGGTAACCTTGAGGACCTTTACGAGCAGCAGTTGTAAAGGCGCGACCAATAGCAAGACGCTTCTTAGCTTGCTTAGCTTCAGTAGCAGGATCAGGAAGAGTAGCAGCAGCCTTTGCGACATTTGCATAGCTAGGTGATTTAGTAGCCTTAGTATTCATAGAGCCAGTAGTAGTTTTGAGGGTTGACCCCTCTACCGCCGTGGGCCGACTCGAACCAGAGGGGACCACGTGACCGGAGACTGCACCCTGCAATTTTTGAATTGCAAGGTCCTTGTCCTGTAAAAGTTTTTTCAACTCTGAATTCTCTTTTTCCAGAGTATCTAAACGAGCAAGAAGACCATCATGTTCGTTGACGCGAGCAGTAACCGAGGTAAGTTGTTCTTGGAGCTGATTAAGAATCATTTGAAGCTGATTCATATCCATACCCTGTAGATTGGTAGCCATGACGGAGAATATTTTTTTATAAATTTGAAAATTTTTAAAAAAATATCAAGGAGGTGTTCGACAAATTTGAAACTATAACACAATAAACTGTTACCAAAGGCAAGCAAAGTTGTGTAATTTCGAGTTGTTGGAGTTGGTAGTTATCGAGGAAATACGTTTTTTCTTGTCTGGAACAACTTTTTTCCGAAAACGGTGGCAAAAAGTGTTGAAAAACGGAAAGAGATGCGGGTATAGCTCAGTTTAAGATTGGTTTTTATTTATATGAAATTTAGTGGGCACTCGATGGGAGCATAGCCTAATTTCAAGAACAAATATATAACAAGTAACTAAAAAAATCCTCCAGAGCACTTTCAAAAGGACAAAAAATGCAGTGACAAGAGTGCAGGACATGGAGACTAGTGGTGCTCACATTGAGGATCTCGAGGGACAACCAACGGATGGGAACTTTGATAATGACTTACCACCGAGGAGCCGCACGTAGAAAACAACAATGGAACATGTTCATCCCTGTCAGATCAACCAGTACGAGAGTACCAAAGAGACGCTGGATCTGGATCCGGAGCAATGACAGCCAGAGGATGCACAAGGCAATCGATAGCATACAGTAGGTTCAGTAGAGCAGACCAGTAAGCAGGAGGACCAGCAGAGGCAGTGGTTGGCAGGCAATTAAGAGCATGATCAATACGGTGCACACCAGGAGGAGCAGGCGGCAAGGCATCGATTAAGTCAGGATCAAGAGCACGGCAGTACAAAAAGTGATCACGAGAGATGTGAACACCTGCAGGTGACATACATGGGCACTCCTCACGCATGTTTGTGAAGCGACCAAGGCGCCAACGGACCAAACGACTACGGGCAATACGACCAAGAGGCAGATAGAGGATGGGATCAGGCCTTGTGGTATCAGGACGACACACTACGGCCCAACTGATGTTCTCATGAGAACATCGAGGTGCTCATATAAGAATCTATTTTATGTTCTCATTCGAGAGCATCGATGTTCCCAAAAAGTGGAAAATGCTCTCATATGGGAACATCGGCGTTCCTAAAGATCTATTATAAGTCGGCCGATGTTCTCATAAGAACATCCGAGATGTTCCCATATGAGCACATCCATGTTCTTAAATAAGAGCAAATGTAGCTGTTTATGAGCGCATCGATGTTCTCAAATCAAAATATCGATGTTCTTAAATGAGCAAATCCATGTTCTCAAATGAGAACATTCATGATCGCGCATGAACCTATCGATGAGCTGAAATGGGATCATTGAAGGTCTGAATCAGCTTAAATATTTGTAGCTTTTATTGGCCCATAATTCGTGGTTTAAATATTGGCAGCTTTCATTGGCTCAGAAATTGTGGTTTAAATATTTATACATTTATTATTGGTTAATTTTAATGGGTAAACGAAGGCTACGTGCCAAAAACGTGCAATAGTAAAGCCTTGTAGTGGTAATGGTCATGCTGTAGGCTATAGTAGAGTCAAAGATAATTGAGAATAATAGCCTGGATCAGTATGAACTGTTTCGTGTTTCCCAATATTATCAGTTTTTAGGGCAATATAAAAGTGATGTTTCCAGGCGAGATCCAGAGAGAGCATAGAATGAAAAGGTTGAAGCCATCAACAGTGTTCCATGTAGAGCAACGAATTGTACAAAAGCCAGCATAATATCAAAGATGTGCATGTACCTATCAGCAAAGATGTGAACTGAATCAAGTTAGTAAAGCGTTCCAGCAAAGGCGTAATGACTACAATACCTCTTTCACAAGACAGATAGAAAGTACAGCACACCACCAGGCAGCGACTCATTGGGAGCAGACATTCTTGAAAAGAAAACATCGAACGAATGTTAATGCGTCTTATGCCGTCAGAAGAATCAGATGTATAGACCGCATCATTCAACTATGAAGCATCTGCCATTGTTCACTGGATGCAAAAGGGGATCCATAAAGTATGCAAGAGATGTGCTCAGTTATCAAGCCAAACCCGCCAGACCCACTCGACGCTGGCACTAGTTAACTTATCAGGTGAGTAACGACTGATTTTTCCTGATGATGCAGCAAAAGATGACTTACTACTTGAACAGTGATAGCAAGAAAGCAGATAAATGGAACCAGCAGGATGGAGGGAAACGGTTAACCAAATGGCATACTTGCGACATCGAAATTGACCTGGCAAAGTCGCCTTTACATTTCTACAAGATATTTGTTAGCTTTTATATGGCAAGAAGCATTGGACATACCATAAATTTGTTGTTTCGAAAGGATGTAAATGAAGATTCCATCCTGGATACTATGGCAGGGATATGAAGCTTCCCACGGCGCACATTTGAAATGGTATTCCTTCTTCAATGGCATTGAAACCTAGCCTCCACCTTTAAAGCCATGGACGGTAAATGCTGCCTCTTCTTCTTGCTGCTACAGAGCACATGTCTCTTATGCTGATAGAATTAAAGTGAAAATAGATGAAAAATGAAGAAAAAAGAGAAACAAAAGCACTTTTTTCTCAAGGGATGACCTAAATATACAAAGTTTCGATCTAAAAATATAGAAACACGCTCTAATCATGCACAGTATCAGACTGATGTAACCAAATCAAGTAACTTTTTAAGCTGAAGTGACCTATCAAATGTGATTTTAAATGTGGCATCGCAGCTAATCCATCATCTCAAATCCCAATAGAGCAAGGCAGCATCAAATGTACAAAAGCAAAGTAATTTTATTTTGGATGAAATATACAAGATCTCACAAACGCACACACCATTACATATTGCTAGTAGTACTAAGGTTGTCATCATCCTCAGCATTACCAACACCGGCAGTTTGAGCAAGCTGGGCAATATCACTGTCTCCAACAATTGCTGATTCAGTCTCCTAAAAGCATTTGAAATGTTTCCAATACTTAGATGTTAGCCATGGCCAAAACAAATAATAGGAGCTACTTACCAGAAGATGGCTTCTTGCCTCGTTTTCTTGCAAAGACACATTGGCAGCAGCATTGGCAGCATTGGCAACATTGGCAGCAGCATCAGCAGCAGCAGCTCGGTTTCTGCTTGCTCTATTTGCTTTGAAGGCCTGGGAGAGCAACAACCTGGCACACCACTGCTTCTTGCAGAGACAAATCATGAGATTGTCCCGTTGCAGGGCCTGCTCCTCCAGTGCCAGGCTGTAATATACCTGTTCATCCTGCACATGGTCCAGGGCATTCCAATGCGAGATATTCGGATGCATCACCAGTATAGCCTCCAAGACCCTCTTTGCTGTGCGGTGGAGCTTCTCCCTGCGCGATTTGAGCTGCCCTGGTGTCAAATCGGGTACAGATGCCCCATTGCATAGTTTGTGTAGATGCTGGAGCATTGCGTTGTATCTCTCCACAGGAGAAGCTCTGGCCCTGCCGGTAGGGTTTGCTTCAATTACCCGAGGACCTCTTCTGTTGCTGTTTGATAGTACCTGGCTTCTGTAAGTGGGATCCAGGATGCTTCTTGTTGCCAAATCGCTGCCTGCGTCTTCCAATGGCGACATGAATTGCTGTCGAAATCCATCATTCAAGACGTTCAGTTGTACGCCTTGTTGGCTGATTTCGGATCTCATTGCCATCATTTCTTGCAAGAGTCTTGCGGTGAAGTCAATGCTGGCAGCGTTGTTGTTGTTGTTGTTGTTGTTGTTCATGGTTCGCGCTGATAATAAAAGTTTAGTAAGCAAAGAAAAGATATGTTCAGAGTTGTGTTGTACCGTATATCTCGTTGCGCACACACCACCACGTTGTTGAACGTCATTCGGTTCACAGGCTTCATGCAAGTAATGCTGACCTCATTGTACGCCCATAGTATAAGCATATGTGCACAGTGAATACCACTCGATTTGACATGATGTTGAAAGTGAAATGACGTAGAAGTAGCCTGAGGCGACATATCACATCATAGGAAACACGTTCCTTACTTGATCTTGGACTTTGAGTTACCAAACGTTATATGCAAGACTACGTATCACTTGCTTGTAAACGATGATAAACGCATTTGTTGGCGAGCGCAAATAAAACTTGAATTAGTATATAAAGCTGCCACTTGAAATTTGTTTTTACTTGCCTATTTTTCTTGGTTTCTCCAAACATGTCATTCTCAATCCGTATATCACGAGAAACAGAGCCATCCTTCTGTACAAATTGCTATACCAGCTTTGACAGTGCCCGTGCTCTACGCAACCATCGCCGAAACTGTCGTGCTCCCATTTTGAATGAAGATCAAGATGTTGAAATGGAAGAGCAACCTCCAGTGGAAACAACGCTGATACAGCCACAATCTCCCCCCAGTGCGCTAGTCACAGCCAATTCAGATCATGCAAACCAGCTGCATGATGATGATGCCATGAGTGATATTGAAGAAATGATTCCTGCTGCTGACGATGCTGATTATGACTACGCAGGCTTTGAACAGACGCCGGGTGCTGCTGATCTGCTGCCTATTGTCGATAATAATGGTAAGGAATTGCAGCGCTAAAGTAGATGTATATACTCACAATAGCGGATTCCACACATGCGATAACAGGAGACAATCCAGAAGAACCAGGGCTTGAATTTGATTTGCTAAATGTCAAATACAAGACAGTTGGAGTAGTCGACCCAGATGCAGAAGATCAGGCTTGCTTCTACGATTGCAGATCCCTCGAAGACATCAACCAAAATACATATACAACCACAGAACTGGTTTCGATTGAGCTGTATGATATCGTCAATGATTTTGCTATACCACGGGATGCATACAGAAAGTTGGTCAGGTTGATGAACACTGTTTTGAGAGATACAGAAAAAATTAGTCGAGGTAATTCGCATTGCAATGACATGTCATTTATACAATAACTCACCAGCTTCCGATCCTCCCCCCATGAACTGATAGAAAGCAATCCGGAGATCATGCATGGCCCTCGTGTGCAAAGCATGCTTCAGCGCCAATCATCGTTGACATCCCATGAATATGATGTGTGTATCAATGGCTGCAAGCTGTACGCATTGGAAGTAGACGACGAGGAGACAATTTGTAATATTTGTTCCCATGAAAGATACGATGCACGGGGAGATCATCGAGCCCTGTCAACAATGAAAGTCATGTCAATTGGAGACATCGTATCACGATTAGTTGCGAATCCAATAACGAGAGAGGAGCTTCGGTACCGACATGCCTACGACAACAGAGACCTTGAAGAGAATCCATCCGATGTTATCATTGCTGACGTATTTGACGGCGCCACGTACAAGTCCATCAAGAATACGCATTTCACAAATGACCTGGATATCGCAGTTGCGATCATGAATGATGGCTTTGTAGTTGAAAAGAGAGGTGATCGGCTATTCACAATTATTCATCTGATGGTGTTCAATTACGATCCACACAAGCGTTACAAGGAGGAGTACACGCACGAGCTTTGTATCTTTCCAGGAAAAAAGAAGCCCAAATCATTTGACTCGTTCATTTCCATCATCTTGGCAGAGCTCCAGTGGCTTTCTACGTATGGAATGGTAGTCGAAACAAATGATGCTGGGCCAATTCGTTTGAAGGTTCATCCTCTAATTTGTGGTGGTGATACTCCAGGTAAATATCCTGATTGATAAAGCAACTAATCAGCATCCACAATGGCTAACATGAAATTGATTTACCTACCTGCTTTATTCTAGCCGTGTTTGACTGGAGCAAGTGTGCTCATCATGCATCTGAGTATGGCTGTCGTTGGTGTCTTTCGCGTGGCATGCACCCTGATAATCGCAGCCATGGAATGTACTTTCCAAATGCTGGAAGCATGCGTACGAATGAAGATTACGA